GGATACGAAAATTATTGTCCCAGCCACTGCTTGTTTGCGTTGCTGGAATGTCCCTACGTAAACGTTTAGTGTCATTTGAAGAACGAACAGGTGAGAGCCTTCTTTTTCCTGTCTCTCTTTTTCAGCTCAGGTAACATATCATCTAACTGTTTCTTTTTGTCCTTCCGTGCCTTTAATAAAGGTTCAAGTCCATTACCAAAAAACACATCACCAGTTAAAGGTAAAGTAGCAAAATCTTTGTAATCGGAAAGATCATACATGCCTGTATCTGCCATAGTTACTGTACGACGTACAATGTGATGAAAAGCTGCGGAGCGACCCAATTGATCAAGGCACTTCGTGGACATAGCAAAAATGTCTTTAAACAAATTTCACTGTTTTGTCTTTTGAAAAAGTCATCAGAAGAAACAAATTCAACCAAATTTCCCAAAGCTTGTTGCATATAAAGTTGCATAACAATACCTAAACGAGCTGCTTGGGCTCCACGGTAAGAAACTTTTTCTACAGTTTTATGTGGTTGAGAAAACAAGCATTTAACCTGACTGTTTCTTAAAAGCCGCTTTACTGCCATGTCTGTTAACAAGTAAACTTTCTATCAAAGGATCAAGTGTAGGAACTTGCAAAAATTTTTCCGTTTTCTTCATCCACCGGAAATAAATCAAAATTTTCTTCATTAAACGCAGAGAGAAAATTAGGAGAAGTTGAATGTAGACTGTCATTCAAGACGTCTTTCTGAGAATTGTCCACAGAAATACCTTCCTTCTTGGTGGACTTTTTCACTGTAGCATCTTCACCAAAAATGTCAAAAAGACATTTCTTTAGTTGAATCAGAAAGTTCTTTTTCATCGACTTTCCCCTTAATAGAAAACATTGTCTTCATCTGACAAAAAAATTATCTCCATGAATAGACAAAATATCACTGTTCAAGCCAGGATGATTAGAATCTGAATCACTGTCCGACAGAGAATCTGAGCCCGACTCGAACTTAGAACGATGCACACTGTTCTTTTTCTTCACGTGTCTTTCCGTAAATTTAGACGAAGAAGAGTTACACTGAGATTGAGCAGATTGGATTTTGGCAACTAATCCATCCAATTTACCCGAAATACTCGACTCCAGAGCTGAGAATTTATGATTCCATTGTTCTTCTAGAACATCGTATTCTGGAACGTCTTTTAAGTGGAGTTTTCGGCGTATTAGTACCCGACTCCGAGTCCGAAGGAGGAATTTCACCTTCCTCTGGTAATTTTATTTGTATCAACAAACAGTTGAGCCATAACTAAAGCGAAGAAAGTGAAAAAACACACGACCGATTTGGTCGCCGAAAAAAGGAAACTGACATCTTTAACACGTGGCGGAAGTAAGGGGAGTTAATTGAAGAGCTTACTTCCGGTGTTAATAGTTTAGCGAATTGTGAGAAATTAACGGAAGGAATCCATATGGTACTGTCGGGTAAGTTTATTTACGAAATGAAATTATATTCTGTATAAGGAAAAAAAACAAAGGGCCATAATTAAATAAAAAATTATTCAATCACAAAACCCCACGTATGCGCCAGGGCACTGGATAAAAAAGCTAAGTACTGTGAAAGTTTGGTCAAAATCCGTTGAGAAATGTAGGAGTTCAGCACAAAAGAATTTTTTCACTATATATTCTGTATAAGGAAAAATAACAAAGGGCCATAATTAGGTCAAATATTATCCAATCACAAAATCCCGATAATGTGCGCCAGGGCAATTGATGACAAAGCCTCTGTGAAAGTTTGGTCAAAACCTGTTGAGAAATGTAGGAGAAGTTGAGCATGGTAAAAATTGTTCACTATATAATCTGTATAAGGAAAAAAACAAAGGGCCATAATTAGGTCAAATATTATCCAATCACAGAAGCCCGATGATGTGCGCCAGGGCATTTGATAACAAAGCTTCTGTGAAAGTTTGGTCAAAATCTGTTGAGAAATGTAGGAGAAGTTGCGCATGGTAAAAATTGTTCACTATATAATCTGTATAAGGAAAAAAACAAAGGGCCATAATTAGGTCAAATATTATACAATCACAAAACCCTGACAATATGCCCTAAGGCACTTGATGACAAAGCCTCTGTGAAAGTTTGGTCAAATTCCGTTGAGAAATGTAGGAGGAGTTGCGCACAGAAAATCGTTCACTATATATCCTATATTGGGGAAAAAAAACAAAGGGCCATAATTAGGTCAAATATTATCCAATCACAAAACCCCGACAATATGCGCCAGGGCACTTGATTACAAAGCCTCTGTGAAAGTTTGGTCAAAATCCATTGAGAAATGTAGGAACAGTTGGGCACAGAAGCAGTTATTCACTATATATTCTATATAAGGAAAAAAATCAAAGGGCCATAATTAGGTCAAATATTATCCAATCACAAAACCCCGACAATATGCGCCAGGGCACTTGATGACAAAGCCTCTGTGAAAGTTTGGTCAAAATCCATTGAGAAATGTAGGAACAGTTGGGCACAGAAGAAGTTATTCACTATATATTCTATATAAGGACAAAAAAATCAAAGGGCCATAATTAGGTCAAATATTATCCAATCACAAAACCCTGACAATATGCGCCAGGTCACTTGATGACAAAGCTTCTGTGAAAGTTTGGTCAAAATCCGTTGAAAAATGTAGGAGGAGTTGCGCACAGAAGAAATTGTTTACGCCCGCCCGTCCACCCATCCGCCCGCCGACATACCTCAATCTAATAACCAGTTTTTTCCTTCGGAAAACCTGGTTAATTATATGAAGTTGTTTTGAATTCCAACCAGTAGTTTTCAAGTTATACTTCCGACAAGGAAAATGTAACAGACCGCTGGACCGACCATAGTGTGACTCCTATATACCCCCAAAACTTCGTATCAGGGGTATAAAAATGTCAAAAACATGTGCCGCTGATTAACTATTTAACTGGCCCCTTATTATACATACTCATACATGAATGTTAACAACTGGACACTGTTAATTGACTGGTATCGTTTGACTGGTAATGAACCATGTGATCCACAATTGATTAGCTTTAACCATTGCATGTGTGTGAACCCCATCTACATACTTAAGTGTTCTTGCATGAAATATTTCTCATACATGTTTTTGTTTATTTTCAGTAAAAATTAAAACAACATCAATTATTGTTTATTTTTCATTTGTCATTCATAATTGATGTTCAACTGTCCTTCTGTATTGTTAGCTGTTGCCAAACCTTTCACCTTTTTAAACTTACCATGCACATGTTTTTTGTGAAAACTTAATGCCAAAATAACATACACTTATTGACTTACTCACATTTCCATAAGCTGCATGTACCCTTTATTATTTTCTCAAATAAACAAATTTGAAGTTTGCAATTCCAACCTTCATCCTTTAAGGGCATTTTAATCAAAGTAAATCACCTTAATCATGGACTAAAATTACATTTCAGTTACTTTACCTCAGTTTTAATAGTTTTGTAAAAATCATTTTTTCAAAATATCAATATCTGTTTTTTTTTAATTCTGTACTGATTACTGTTTTTAATTCAGTCTTGATTATATAATAATTTAGCAATGTTATGATTGCGTATGACATAGTACACAACCATTGCCATTTTTTTTCAATTAAGTAGCTGGCCATTTTTTTTTCAATTTAGTAGCTGGCCATTTTTTTTTTCAATTTAGTAGCTGGCCATTTTTTTTTCAATTAAGTAGCTGGCCATTTTTTTTTTCAATTTAGCAGCTGGCCATTTTTTTTTCAATTTAGTAGCTGGCCATTTTTTTTTTCAATTTAGTAGCTGGCCATTTTTTTTTCAATTTAGCAGCATGGCCATTTTTTTTCAATTTAGCAGTTCTTTGTAAAAGTTGCAGATATCTATCTTTATAGCCAATTGCATTAGTCACTGGCAATAAATGTGTATACATGCAAACACAGCCAGCATATGCATAAACATATGTATATATTTTGCGTTAAATACACAGGATTGTGTCCGAGTGTGGATGATGAATTATATTAAATTATTTTTGTTGAATAATTGCATTTAAGATGTGGTAATTTACCAAATAATGAATACAATATCGAATGATGATTCAGTGTATGAAATACATGATTTTATCATCACAGCATTGATCCATAGCTGCAACAAAAATTTCTGTTTCTAACATGGTGTATAAGGCCCTGGCATTTAAAGTTGCTACTGCTACATACCAAGTCATATAAGTTTTAGTGGCCAATAAATGTAACGGGGCAAATTTATTGGAGCAAAAAGTAAGAATGCTATTGATAAATTGTTTAGTTTCATGAAAAGAATAGTGTAAAGGTATATATATTTTAAGCTTGAGTTAGGCACATCAGACTTACTTGTTTGTTCCTTTTAGTGGTCCTCAATATTGATAAAGTTTCCTTCAAATAGAAGTCTTTAAAAGTGCATAAAGCTATACATGTAATATATGCTGCAAAAATCATTGTCTGAATTTCAAAAAAAATCCAAAATGCTTGTATGAATTAAATATGTTATTATATTACCTTAAAAGGAAATGGTGCATGCACTATATCATTTCTAACAGATAAAACCCTACTTGAAATAGTAGAATAATATTCTGTTCAGAAACATTTTATTTTGTTTATGTACAATATTCATGAGTGTTAAATAACGGAGACATTCGATATTAAAACTGTTTCGAGAATACCGTAAGATTATTGAACAATTATAATTTTTACTGATGATAAATTTTATAAAAAAAATTTAAAACATAAAGCTTTATAACTTTTAAGAGTATTATCTTATTACCTCATCTGACAAAATTGATTTGAGCTGACTTTTATGAGAACCATTTAGGGATGTTGAAGTAAAATATTGGTGAAGATTGATGACCCAGCTTTCAGTTTATAAGTTTTCACTGAGACCATTTTGAGCATGCTAGAGACAGCAAGTTAGATAATACACTAAAGCACCTTGATCATTTGGTGCAATATAGCTAGAAAATACTTGTAAAACAAGGGACGTTACCTGTTTCTCGTGTTGTGGAAGTTTCGTCCATTCAGATCCTAGAAGACGTGTTATTTCTACAAATGACAGACCAGGATGTTCTGTTCTCAATCTCTCCCGCCTCTCATTCAGGAACCGGATGTAACCAGATAAAGGCTGTTTAGGAGCATTTGTGTCCTTCACTTTGCGCCTTTTCTTCCCTTTCGGCCATCCTCCCTTCCTTTTCTGGAAAAAGTTTATAAATCTATAGAAAAAAATGCTAACAAAATTTCATGCACTGGAAAAACTGCTCAGTTCTCATATAAAATAAATGATTTTCTACTCTTAAACATAGCTGGTAACAATACATCAATAAAAAACAAGAATGTTGAACGACACATATATCCCCCTTTCTAGCCATTGACTCACATAATTGGTAATTTTATTACAGAAACTTGCCAAAAATGGGTACAAGGAAGTGTTCAATTATGGAAAAATCAACGGAAACCATTTTGACATTTAAGGCCCATGTGACATTTACCTTTGACCTAATGACCCCTAAATCAATAGAGGTCATCATCTTCTACTTATGACCAATAACTAGGTGAAATATGAAGACTTTGTGATGAATACTTTTCAAGATAATCAGCAGAAACCCTTTTGACATTTAAGGCCCCTGTGACCTTGACCTTTGACCTAGTGACCCCAAAATCAATAGAGGTCATCTATTAGTTATGACCAATTACTATGTGAAATATGAAGACTTTGTGATGAATACTTTTCAAGATAATCAGCGGAAACCATTTTGACATTCAAGGCCCCTGTGACCTTTACCTTTGACCTAGTGACCCCAAAATCAATAGGGGTCATGTACTAGTTATGACCAATCACTTTGTGAAATATGAAGACTTTGTGACACATACTTTTCAAGATAATTAGCGGAAACTATTTTGATATTTAAGGTCCCTGTGACCTTGACCTTTGACCTAGTGACCCCAAAATCAATAGGGGTCATCTACTAGTCATGACCAATCACTATGTGAAAAATGAAGACTTTGTGATAAATACTTTTCAAGATAATCAGCGGAAACCATGTGGTCTACCGACGGACAGACCGACGGACCAACAGACATTAGCAAAACAATATACCCCCTCTTCTTCGAAGGGGGGCATAAAAATTGGTGATATAATTTACTCCCCAGTACACTGATACATTTATAAATGTATTTAGTACAGTTTACTCCCCAGTACACTGATAAAATAAAGGCATGTTATGCCTCAGAATAAAATAAATTTTGCTCCTTAAGAAAAGGCAAACATGAGTTTTATAACATTAAACAAAGGATTTAGCAATATGCTTGATGCTTATCAACTGAAGAAATTAGTGCTGAATGTGAAATCATTTGTCATAAAAGTAGCAAAATGTAAACAAATTGGTATTTTGACTTTCATACAAAATAAATGTGCTTTATCACTAAAACTGTACTAATTGCTGAAAAACAACAGAAGCTAAATCAGGTCTAGGTAATAAGCCAATGAGTAACTTTTGGATACTATAATAATTTATGAAACTAAAAACAAAAAAGCTTTTGAGAAAAAAATAAAACCATTTTATGGCATAATCGGTGCTCAATAACTCTTCACACCTTAAGAAACATATAGCTAGTATAATTTATATCTAGTACACAGATAAATCAATAAACAGAGCTGATATACATTTTTAAAGTATTTTTTTATAATATGATTGGCTGATGATCATTTGTAACACAGAAATTAAAAAATTACCTCAGTTTGAGGAGTCACACTAGTCGCCCCAACCACAACATCTGAAAAATTAAAAACTATCATTTTAAGGCTATGTGTAATCAACCATTTTTTAAAAGATAAAGCAATTAGTAAAAATTCGAATTCTAATAAAGATTTTTTCATTTTGTTTGATTTTCTAGTTTTTAATGATAAAGGAAAAACTCCAACACACCTTATTGCAACATTTCAAGCACTAGCAACTAAGGGTGTTCTGTAAGCTAGCCGGATACCATACTTGCTCAGAAATACAAGTAAACTATGGTGTACCAATAGAAATGGTTCACATGTCATTATTGACATACTCTTTATTAGAATATCAGAATTACTTCTTACTTTTCTTAAACTTGACAGCTAGACAACAAAAGCTAGAATGACTAGTAGTATAAAATTGGTGCAACAATAATACAAAAATAAACAACCAATCAGAAAACAGTTCACCAAAGTCATGGTTTACTCAAAATAATTATTTTAGATCTTAAATTAAGCCAAACAGTACTGTAAAAGAAATGTAAGAAATCAACCATGCTGCAGTATATGGGTTTAAATCTTTCAAATGCAAATAAATAGCAAAAGCCTTACATTGTGACCTTTACTAAATCAATAAAGCTATCTTTTTATTTCCAAAAAGTGGTTACTAATTATGGAAAATTCAAAATTTTGCGCTGGTCAACACTGATTTTCCATTCATTAATTTGCAGACTGGTCCTAAAAAGGTGTAAAAACCTGGAGAGAGACATTTATTATATACAAGCCTACCTTCTAAACAATCCCTTAACCCTGATTAATCTACTTTGTTGACAAAAATAATTTTGATAGTCAAAAAAGAGTATTAACACCTAGGAACTATTCAATAAAGAAAAATACCTTCTGTTGAGTCAGTGACTGCCTGCGGTTGAATAAAAGTAGCCTCTGTGGCAACAAAACTGAAAGGTAAATAGAAATTTCTTACTAAACTTGCGGGCAATAATATATCAGTTGTAACAACTTTTAAATAGCCAGTATAAAGATTGTGCTCTGTAAGTTAAAGTTCTTCTGTTTTCTTTCTTAATTTTTTTACTTTTTTTATTTTCTTAATGAAGCTTTAAAAGTTAAACATGTAAATTTAATATTTTAATATTGCATTGATGGCATGAAAGTAAAGCTTGTCAAACATAGGGTTCATGGAATATTATAGTAATGCTATTTGTATGAACAAATGTTTGTATAACTGGTTACCTATTTTCGACATTCAAGTCATTGCTTTCTTTGGAAACATCATCCTCAAATGGAAATGACAGCTTCAAGCCAGACAACATGGAATTACCAGATGATGAACCTAGATCCATGGAATGCCTCTCCTGTAATCGTATAAAGATAAATATAATGAAGCTTTATTCATGGAATGACTGTCCTGTAAAAGTTTTAAGATATTAATATAATAAAGTTTTAGATCAATGGAATGCAGACAAAACGGGACTTGAACAGAAGACCGTTGGAAATAATTTACCGCAGATATGTGACTAAGCTATCCAATTATTTACACAGCTTTTCCTCTCATCATGTTTTTTCATCTTCTTCTGAGTATTGAAGCTAATATGGCATATCTATAGTATATACAGTTCATTCAAGTTTTTCTAATTTCTTATAAAAGGCAATTTACAAAGTGTACATAAGCAAGTTACAAGTTTAACAATTTAGTAATTTAAAGCGCTTATCAACTCAAGTCTTATCATCTTATATTAGTTATCCTTTCAAATATATACATGTATATATATAAAGATATACATGTATTAAATGATGTACATTGTGTATATATAGACAGAATGGGCCAAGAATTACAGAAAGCCAGTGACAACTGGATAAAGTTACAAAATAAATGTAACCAGAACGTGACAGCTTGTGAAAACTACTATTCTGAATGAATAAATTATGTCTGAACAATAAAAAGTAAATCTTATGAACTTAGAGTGTTTTGCACATCGTTTTACTGATGTGCCGGTAAACTTGTACATGTGAGTTTGTTTACATTACCAATTTCTACCCAGAGGGATCGTTGAATCTTCTGAAAATGGCGAAATGGCTCGAGTTGCGGAGTAATAGGGCACCGTTTCAAAAGTAGTGCCGCAATTATGATTTCTTTGTAAGCATTGAAAACTTACTTTCGTTCCATCAAATTTTATTATTTTACTTTGGCCTTCCAAACTTATATTTTCAAAACTATCTTTCCTCAAAATAATGGGAATAATTTGATATAGTTTATGTGTTTACTTTCCGGAAGTGAATGTTTTTTTCTGACGGAAGTGTTGCTAGGTCAATGTTGTGGAAATGATAATGCGATGACAAAGAATCCACTATTTATTGATTTTTGAGTTATATTTTAGAGACTGTACTATTCAGTCTAAAAACCATGGTGAGAAAATTTTGTTTTATATTTTTCTAAATCATGGTCTCTATATGTCTGGTTTATAGTACGTTAAGTGCTCTTTTATTACTTAAAAATCAAATGGATTTCTGTTTATTTGATTAATAATAATATCAATTGATCAAATATTCAAGCATGCATGTATTACATTTAAAATTATATTTCAAATTGTGTGAGACGAACAAATATAGATTTACGATTTCTTGTTATTTTTGTCTTTGAGAATATGGTTAAAACGGTAATAACCCCATTTTTATTTTAAACACAGACTTCCCGAAAGTTGAAAAAAACTGTCAGACATTCTGTCTGACAAACCATGAAAATCTGTCGGACCGAAACAAAATCTGTCGGACCAAATAAAATTGATCAAAATCAAAGAAAAACTTGTGTTTGTATTTCTAAGACACTTTTTGTCTTTTATTTTTTCGCCGTAAAAATCGGCACTATCCGTACAGCGCATTTTCATCTTCTCCCAGTCATACACCAATGATTCATGGTTCTGCTTCCATTTTTCATGAAACTTTGTCTCAGGTCTATTCTTTTCATCCTTTTATTGCTGTTCTGCGCACTCTTCTAACGTAGATTTTCGTTTTTTTCCCAGGTTTGGCACCTTTAGCGACGCCATTTTGTATACATGCGGCTTGGATAAAAGCCGGACAGTCGGACCGATCCGGAATAAAAAAATGTCGGACCTGATCAAAATTTATCGGACATGTCCGTCGGACCGACGTATTTCGGGAAGTCTGTAAACATATATCTAAATTCATAATTCATTCTGAAATATGCATTATTATTAAATATTAAGTAATTAAATGGTAGTGTGTGCCCTAAAAAATGTTCTATATTAAATATCTAATCAAATTATCAACAGTGTTTTACATAAAGGACTGGCACACTTTAAAGTCTATTCTGACAGACTGTGTTCGCAGTTATTAGTTTACTGGGTCGTACACATATACTATTTTGATTTTGAGTTAATAAGATTGAGAAATTCATTTACAGAAGTAAACTTTGTTCTAAAAGTTTACTTAATGAAGTGATGGCTTCTCAATCCTATGGCAAAAGTAAATAACTCCGGCAATCTCTTGGAATAGCCACCTACAGATGTTTATCACTATCTATAGTTAATACAGTACTTTACTACAAACGGAATGGAATATTTAGATGAACATCGACCTCAGGTGCTTGTCTATAGACAATATTGTTCCAGGAATAATGACAGAGATCGAAAATGCCACTCGTCCACTCATAATTACAAGTAGAATTTAAGAGAACTAGATGCAGGACAAGTAAAAAAATGTTACCTGCACATTGGATTTAGAAGCTACTTGTCCTGCAGGAAAGCTAGCTCAGGTTCCGCACTTAAAGAATCCAAGTCACTGGCAATATTCAAAACTTAACATTAGTAAGGGGCAAAAAAGTGTTGAGACAAACAATCAGACATATATAGAGGAAATATTATTAAGTTTAAGATTTGTCTAATTCAGCTTAAGATATCAGGCAAACATCATGTGTCAGTTTTGAACTTTTCATTTTCATGTCGGTCTTTATAAAAAATTTCTAGCATTAATTTATGCATAATAAAAACAAGAATAAACCCCTAAAAGAAGTTGTTACTAAATGATTTGAATGATATATGCCATATTGTCAGAATTTACTTATTTTGTCTGCAGTGCCAGTGGATTTGTCCAGCCCATTTATCCAGGAAAGTGACTGACTAAAAATCGTTCAATTCTCTATAGATCTGCTTTTTCTAACAATCCCCTGCACATAATATATATTAACGAAATGTAGGCCAAAGAAAATTCAGAGCAAATAAAATTTATTAGGGATGCATGGTTCATGCCACCTCCTCCCCCCCCCCCAACCGTCATTAGATGGTCACTTCTTCACCTCTTGTATCCAGGCAGAAAATATATATATGGCTTCATGAATATTGCTTTACATCATAATTCATATAAATAACCCTTGAACTGTTGCAGTGCTTACATGTAAGTATTTTGTATTTGGTTTGCTTGAATTACAGTAGATGTTGGATGATGTCGGAGACATGGTACTGTTCGAAAACTTGCATTCTAGTAAATACATGTATACAATTTGCCAAAATGTATCAGGAATTTTGTTTTGGTCTTATATTATCAATTATATGTTATAACTGGCAACAGAAAACACAATGACCCTTTAAAAATGTTTTCTTCATCTGTTCATGACTTGATTTTGTTTTAGAGTATTTGAGAATTTATATTAGAAAGAAGAAAAAAAACAGAATACATGCATGTACCTGAGATAGTGAGATTTTCTTAAGAATAGAACTGAAACTTTTTTTAATACATTGTATTTGTACAAAGAACATCATCACATTGTGGCACAAAATATAATAAATTAAAATATATATCAAATATAAGTCACATACAATAAATTGTAAAACATACAAGTATTATAATAGTCAAATGTTAGCAAAGTAAAAGGTATTCATCATTGTTTAACATACAAATACAAATTGTATTACCAATGTAAAGCATGTTTTATCTTATCTTAACAAGATAACATTGCATAGCTTAATAATTTAAAGCTGTTCATGGCTGAAGAAAAAAAAAATGGACTCATTCCCCTTTCCAAAAGGTCTATATTTTACCCCTTTTGCTGAAGAAAAGACTGTAGATTAGCCCCGCTCAAAAGGATATAATTATGCCCCCATTTCGAAGAAAAGGGGGTATATTGCTTTGCACTTGTCGGTCCGTCGGTCCGTAGACCAAATGGTTTCCGAGTGATAACTAAAGAACCCTTAGGCCTAGGAACTTCAAACTTGGTATGGTGATTGGTCATGACCAGTAGATGACCCCTATTGATTTTGGGGTCAAGGGGTCAAAGGTCAAGGTCACATTGACCTTGTAAGCAAAAACGGTTTCCGATCAATAACTAAAGAACCTTAAGGCCTAGGAACTTCAAACTTGGTATGGTAATTGGTCATGATCAGTAGATGATCCCTATTGATTTTGGGGTCAAGGGGTCAAAGGTCAAGGTCACATTGACCTTGTAAGCAAAAACGGTTTCCGATCAATAACTAAAGAACCTTAAGGCCTCGGAACTTCAAACTTGGTATGGTGATTGGTCATGATCAGTAGATGATCCCTATTGATTTTGGGGTTAAGGGTCAAAGGTCAAGGTCACATTGACCTTGTAAGCAAAAACGGTTTCCGATCAATAACTAAAGAACCTTAAGGCCTAGGAACTTCAAACTTGGTATGGTGATTGGTCATGATCAGTAGATGATCCCTATTGATTTTGGGGTCAAGGGGTCAAAGGTCAAGGTCACATTGACCTTGTAAGCAATAACGGTTTCTGATCAATAACTAAAGAACTTTAAGGCCTAGGACCTTCAAACTTAGTAGGGTGATTGGTCATGATCAGTAGATGACCCCTATTGATTTTGGGGTCAAGAGGTCAAGGTCACATTGACCTCTTGGGTAAAAACGGTTTCTGATCATTAACAAAAGAACCCTTAGGCCTAGGAACTTCAAACTTGGTATGGTGATTGGTCATGACCAGCAGATGACCCCTATTGATTTTGGGGTCAAGGGGTCAAAGGTCAAGGTCACATTGACCTTGTAGGTAAAAACGATTTTTGATCAATAACGAAAGAACCCTTAGGCCTAGGAACTTCAAACTTGGTATGGTGATTGGTCATGACCAGCAGATGACCCCTATTGATTTTGGGGTTAAGGGGTCAAAGGTCAAGGTCACATTGACCTCTTAGGTAAAAACGATTTCCGATCAATAACTAAAGAACCCTAAGGCCTAGGAACTTCAAACTTGGTATGGTGATTGGTCATGACCAGTAGATGACCCCTATTGATATTGGGGTTAAGGGGTCAAAGGGCAAGGTCACATTGACCTTGTAGGTAAAAATGCTTTCAAATCAATAACTTAAGAACCCTTTGGCCTAGGAACTTCAAACATGGTATGGTGATTGGTCATGACCAGCAGATGACCTATTGATTTTGGGGTCAAGGGGTTTGACCTTGTATGTTAAAACGGTTTCCGATCAATTAACTAAAAATGCTTAGGCCTAGGAACTTCAAACTTTGTATGATGATTGGTCGTGACCAGCAGATGACCCCTATTGAGTTTTGGGTCAAGGGGTCAAAGGTAAAGGTCATGACCAGTAGATACTTGATAACCCTTATTAATTGTTTGATCACTGGGTCAGAAGTCATGCATAATAACCTTTTCACATGACTTATTGGCTGCTGATAGGGGGCATACATGTTTTACAAACATATCTTGTTTTATTTTATTCCTGTTTTGTAGTTGATACTTGTGTGTTGTTTCCACAATGCACCAGAAATGGACTGTTTTCTCTGTTTCTAAAATGTTTGTTTTCCTATGTTTTCCCCTGTCATGGATCCTGTAGACATTCCCCCAAAAAAGTATCTCCATGGATCCTGTAGACATTCCCCCCAAAAAAGTAACTCCATAGATCCTGTAGACATCCCCCCCCCCCCAAAAAAAGTATCTCCATGGATCCTGTAGACATTCCCCCAAAAAAGTATCTCCATGGATCCTGTAGACATTCCCCCCTAAAAAGTATCTCCATGGATCCTGTAGACATTCCCCCCAAAAAAGTATCTCCATGGATCCTGTAGACATTCCCCCCCCAAAAGTATCTCCATGGATCCTGTAGACATTTCCCCCAAAAAGTATCTCCATGGATCCTGTAGACATTCCCCCCAAAAAGTATCTCCATGGATCCTGTAGACATTCCCCCCCAAAAAGTATCTCCATGGATCCTGTAGACATTCCCCCCCCCCAAAAGTATCTCCATGGATCCTGTAGACATTCCCCCCAAAAAAGTATCTCCATGGGTCCTGTAGACATTCCCCCCAAAAAGTATCTCCATGGATCCTGTAGACATTCCCCCCAAAAAAGTAAAACACGGGATATAGTCAGGTCAGGTCTTTAAATATTGTGTGTAGTGCATACTGCTT